TATTCCGTTTCACGATTTTACAAATCACCCTGATTGTAAAGTAGTTTTCACTTTAAAAAAAAGATTGATACGTAGGAAATAATGAATTTGTTATGGGCAACTTTGCGTATTACTACGTTAATGCATTAACATGAATTTTAATGTAATGAGGTTAAGTAGGTAACTTTATAAGAGAGGGAGAGAGAGAGAGAGAGTGCACTTTTTAATAACCGTACCAAGCTGATATTTACAGAAAAGAGTAGTACACCGAGGTTTCTGACAACCCATCGAGTTGTAACTTTTTGCCTACGTTAGAAGAATTCATTAACTAACTCACGAAAAAAAAAAAAAAAAGATAGAAAAAGAGAATGATAGTTATAATTATATCAATTGACCTAGTAAAAAAAAAAAAAAACCCTTTGGTATTTCGTAATATTCCTAAAGAATATATCTTAACGATATTTACGACATTTCCTATTAGTATTCGACACCAAATCGTACGATAAATAATTGACGTATCGATTTTCGATTTCCTCTAGAAATATTCGTACTAGGATATATATATATATATATATATATATATATATATATATGTTTGTATGCACGTGTATAGAAATACGAGCATTACGTGGAATCTCGTATAAAACATACATACACGCGTACTACGTTTTGTCCACGTAGAAATTCATGAATGTGATGTTTAAACGTTTTTAAGCTCTCATTCGGAGATCACCATTGGAATTTGTGACCGATTCGTCATCGTTGTTATTGTTGTTGTTATTGTTATTGAAAATATTATAAATATCGTATTACATATGGAAGAGTATTATTTTTACAAATGAAGTAGTATAAAAAGAACGAATTAACCACGTGAGAGAGTTGAATTTTTTTTTTTTTTTATTATTATTATTCTTTCTTCTATCTTTCATCGTCTTTTCATCGACACACATACACATAGACACACATGACGTGCTACTACTTTAAAAAGAATCGTATCGTTTCAACCTCGCATTACACGATATTAAACCGCGGTCATCGCGGACTCTGACTTTTTATTATTGTTTCGTAGCATGTGCAACAAAGCTCGCGTGAACGTACGCCGTACCATTTGCATTCTCATTACCATCTTCTCGTTCTTATTTAAATAAGCGAACGACTGCGAGGCACTCGGAACTGTTCTGTTGTATGTTGCTCGTTTTATCCTTTTTTTTCTGTATATATATATATATATTTTTTTTTTCTTCTTTACCATCTCTTTCTTTTCTTTCTTCTCTTTCTTTTTCCCTATGCGCACGCGTCTACAAATCTATATCTATACATACATACATAGGTATACACACAATACACACACACACACACATTCATTTTTATTACCCCTTTTTTTCCCCTTTTATATTATATTACACCAAGATCGATAAAGAATTAATTATTTAACACGCACTCCAATAATTAATGTCTCCATACGTACATAGAATATATATATATATATATATATATATATATATATATATATATGCTATAAGTGAATAAATATACGTATAATCAATTTTTTTTCCTTCTTTCGACAAAATTTAAAATACCCAGGACGAATATAAAACGAATAAGTAATAAAATTGTTCCACTTTAATTTTCATTCGACATATATATATATATATAATATTACCATATATAAGCGTAGCACAATTTGCTTTACTATGAAAAAAAAAAAGAAGAAAAAAAGGTATAATATAAGCTCGATTTTTTTTTTTTTTTTTTTTTATTCGATTCCATTAAATTTTTCATATCTTTCTTTTATTATTTTTTTTCTCTCTTCCTTCCTTCCCCTACTCCTACCCCTCGTTCTACATAGGAAAAAAAGTGTTCTTTCTCGTTCAATTTTTTTTTAATATCGTGATTCGAGACTTATGAACGGTAATACGCGAAAGGAAACACACGACACATCGGTGTGGACTACGCCACGCCACGCCACGCCATGCCATGCCAAGCTAAGCCAAGCCACGCCGAAGGAAATTCAATTTCGTTGCGGCTGTGTAATGGAGCAGAACATTCTGGCCGGAGAGAGTTAGGCTGGTTCTCGACCACACAGGAAATACCTATCGATGGTTATCCAACCGATCCATACGGATCCGCGTCGATTCCGTTTAAGCGAGACGATTGATACATACATCTATCCCTGCTTATATACGTTTCCTAGTCGTACGCGAGTCCTCCTACATTTTCTCTCTAAATTGATTCGATCCCAAATTGGCTATTGAATTGGAAGTACAGTTTAGCGAGATATCCCCCCACCTAACTCCATCCCATACCCCATTGATATACCATCTGTTGAGAGAAGTCTAAACATTTCATTTGAATAAATAATAAATTTATTATACGCAAAACACGATTGAAATATTTTCAAAAGAAACGTATGATTAATATCATTTGTTTGGTATCTAATTATTCTATTGGAATATTTTCACGTCAAGTTTATATTAAAAATAAAAGATATAATTTTTATCTTATTATTCAATTAAATTTTAAATAACGATCGTATTAACGTTACTATCGTTATATTCGATCAATCTAATTCATATTAGTAGAAAGGTATTTTAAAGTTCGAAAGGTTAATTAAAATCAATTGAAAAAGAAAAATACAATTTACACAAGTTAGAAGTGAAACCTTCAAAGATGATGAGAGAATAATATAATATTATTACAATATTATTTTTGTAATTATTTACTTGAATAATTATTAAAATTTGCGCCTGTATGTATGCAACCCTCCAGACACACTTTGAAAATACTGCTTTCTAATGTCATCTGCCCGAAAGATAGGCAACCCGTAATACACACGTGTATGAACAGTTTGGTCTTAAAAAAAATTCCGTCTCAGTAGATGGCACTCGCAAGCAACATTTTTAAAGTATGTTTAAAGGGTTGCATACCTACAGGCGCGCATTTTTATAAATAATCATAAAAATGTAACTTTAATTTAACAATTAATTATGCATATTTGTAAAATAATTATTTAATATGTTACATGAAAAATAAATTATTAAAGATTGAAATAACGTTTTCAAATCAGTCCCATTCTTAAGTTTTCATTTGTAAAAATAAAGAAAAAAAAAACAGAATTTATAATGTTACTTCTCTAATTACGAATAATTAAAAATTACGCTAACAAGAGTATACCATTCCACTGGGTGTTCTCATTATTACGTGTCGCATATCGACGAATGTAAAATTTTCCGTATACGTAGAACACATTTCCGTCGTAGTACTTCCACATTCATTTCGCATCACAGCTTTCACCAGGCGTGTTATCCTATGAGATGTTCAGAAAACTTCAAGTGTACCAATGGCATTGTGTACGGGGGTGTACACTTGCAAGTACAACTCCATTGCTATAACCGCATCGTCGTTATTGCATTCCTAGATATAACAAGGTATTCATACCAGGGAAGTGTGTACAACACAACACTCGCATAGGTGCACCTACACCACGCCCTCACGCATATACGATATCTAGAACGAACATAAGTGGCTATTTCCTGACAACTACGACGACGATGACGATGAAAAAGAATGTCTGTCTATTCGTATACGCGACCAACCGAAAAATAATACTTTTGTATTTATAATTTGACCAAAGGAAACTATTGGGTTGTTTGGAAAGTAATTTGGTTTTTTTTCTATTACAATAAAGACATTAGTTGATGCAAACTGACAAATAACAACACGTGAGATCGATGAGAGAGTAAATTTATCAAATTCAACTGTTTATGCTCACTTGAAAGGTTTAAGTTTAAAATTTGTCTTCATTTTCAGTAAAAAAAATTAAAATTACTTTCTGAACAAATCTAAATGATAGTTTTTACTTTTTTAATACATTACGAATCTCCTCTCAAGTAAACTAGTAAAAATAAAAGATATTGTTTCAACTTTGACTAAAAACTCAAAAAGTTTTCTTTTTCAAAGGATACTACTTATCATTGATTCCTTCTTATCAAGAATTCCCCTTTTAACTCTTTCTATCATATATATATATATATACGTACTCTAACATACCAACCAACTATACTACCTCCTTTCTTTATCTATCGATCTCGTTTACAGTCTACGAGAGTAAAACCAAATTACGAGCCTCGGTGGTTCAGTTCGATAAAAGGGAACCCACCCCGTCAAGTATCCATCGATGCGTTCGACTTTCTTCGCTATTGTGCATAAAATGTGACGTAGCTTTTAAGTTTCCCTTCTCTTCTCTACACTTCTCATCTCTTCTCGTATCTTTTCAAAACGGACTCACTCGTCGGATAAAGCTTTTCCGTAGAATATTTTATTCCCCGGTATCGTACTTTTGTACATAGCACCACCACCACCACAACCACTACCATCCCCTTCTCTCTTTCTCTCTCTCTCTCTCTCTCTCTCTCTCACCTGAACGAGAAAACAGCACGTTGTTCGACTGGGCTACGCGATCTATCGTTTTTGAATTTCTAACACGAATGATTTTTCCATTCGCACACATTCCCTTTTACTTATTTTTCCTCGCGATGCGTTCGACAGTACAACACGTGTGTGTGTGTGTGTATGGGTGTACAGTGCCCATTGGGAAATCCTCTCCCGTATAGCAGTATGCGCGTTCATCCATGATGTCGAGATGCTTTCGCGAGTATTTTCCATCGATATCTCTACCATTGGACTTATTCGAAATATTTTTATATTTTCATCCAATTTGAACATTCCCAAGCGACCGGGTGGGTAGGCGTTCGTAACGTTATCGAATCAAAATGCATAACGGGAACAAAGAACGAGGCCTCCCACTCTCTCCAACACAATAGGGGAAACAAAATATTAATGCAACGAATAAGGTATGACGCTCAGCTCATCTCGTGCTGATCGATAACATTTTTTTTATTCCATTCTTTTCATCGGAGACGTATTTATTATTTTAAACGTTCTGCTTCGACAAAGGGTAAAAAAAAAAAAACAAAAAAAAAGAAAAAATTAAAAAAGTACACAGGGGTATTATTTTTAAGATACTTCGTTTTCCGTACAAATCGTTCGGGACGTCGACGAACTTCCGTAAAGAAGTAAAATTTATTACTGCGAGGGGACGAGAAGGAGGAGGTGGAGGAGGTGGAGAAGGAAAAGGAGGTGGAGTAACTACTACTAGAGGGGTAACGCGAATATTGATTTTTCTACGCGACGGACGGTGCACGACCTACCATTACCTCGTATCAAGTGCAACCCCTAACAAAGTAAGTTATCCCCCCACAACTGTTCGTTCGCTTGTAATCTAAAGCTCAACTATACTATACGCACACCTATCGAGCTACTTTTTTATTCTCTCTGTGACCGTGCACGTGACATACTGCTAAACAAAAGCAAAAGAATAAATAAAGAAAGAATGAAAGGAAAGAAAGAATATACACCCTGGCAATATCCATTCCTACTTTTCTTTCTCTCTCTCTCTCTCTCTCTCTCTCTTTCACTAGTATAACCTTTATCGCAGTTACGGTATTTCTAGACTACCCCTCGAGATAATAAACCCGTGGGAAATATTTTCCAATATTAGCTTGTACGAATCGAATAGCCAGATTCATCTTAAATTAAATTCAACGTCAACCTGTACGACCCAATGAACGTTAGGATTGCACTAAGTCAAATTATGGAATTTTAATTGGTTCAATTACTTTTCAACTTATTCTCTATCGCCGTTCTAATTTATTTAAAAAAAAAATCAAATAATCTGATTAATTTTCACGAAATTGTGAACACACTTTAGAAAATACTTTTCATTTTCAGCATCTATCGTTCGAAGTTTAATATTACGAAATATAATATATCCGATCGTTAATGTTTCAGAATAGGACGGATCGAAGAACGATGAACGAATCGGAACGAGAAGGGACCGAAGTGGCGCGATAATAATAATATGTGGACGACGAGGCCGCGTAGGAAACGTAAGCGCTGGGATTTGCCGGCCAGTGGCAAAGAATCGTCCGAGAAACAAGAACACCAACAGAAACAACAACAAAAATCAACATCACCGTCATCATCATCATCATCATCATCATCATCATCATCATCATCATCATCATCATCACCAACGACACAACAACGAAGTGATCGCCGACGGGACGGTTTCCGAATCCTTTATTCGGTGGTCCTGGCGGCCTGCATGGCGACACAGGAAGCAAAAAGCGCCAGGTGCCCACCGCCGGAAACAATACCGGGATGTCCCTGTTACAATTTCGAAGATGGTCTCTTCCTAGAATGTGCTGGTGCAACCGAAGAATCACTCAAGAATGCCTTGTCGAGTGTCATTCAAGCTGCAGGGCCGGAAGGTAACCCAATCTACGTTTCACTTTGTTAAATATTAAAGTCTAACTTTGATTATTGGTTATTGAAAATTGGATTTTGATTACTCTTATTTAGGAGCGTTCGTTCAATCGTTAAGCGTCTACGAACTGGATCGGAAGGTGGAGGAACTACGTGCCCAAGCTTTTCCAGCTGGCTCACAAATTAGACACTTGCAGATTTCTCATTCGGCGATTCGTGAAATAAGCGAGGATGCTTTCGTAAGATTGGAGAAGAGTTTGGAATCGTTGGCACTGGTATCTGGTAGATTACCACGAGTACCACAAAAAGCGATGTCCACGTTGAACCGTTTAAAGGTTCTCGATCTTGAAGCTAATCTCATTCACGAGCTATTGAGTTTCAGTTTTTACAAATTGTCCTTGATAAAACTGAATTTAAAGGGAAATCAAATAAATAGAATTTCGGAGTACGCGTTTGCCGGGTTGGAAACTACATTGAAAGATCTTGATATGGCTGAGAATAAAATCAGAATGTTTCCTATGACATCGCTTAGAAGGTTGGAACACTTAACGTCATTGAAACTCGCTTGGAACGAGGTCGCACAGTTACCGGAAGATGGATACTCGCGATTGGAAGCATTAAATTTTCTCGATCTAAGTAGCAACAATTTCAAGAACATACCACTCAACTGTTTCCGTTGTTGTCCATCATTGAAGACTCTTTCGCTTTATTATAACTCAGTAGAATCGGTCGACAAAGACGCCTTTATATCCTTGATAGATCTCGAGTCTATCGATCTTAGTCACAACAAGATCGTATTCTTAGATGTCGCTACATTTCGTGCCAATCAAAAGCTCAGGTCAATCGATCTAAGTCATAATCACATTCATTATATACGTGGCGTATTTTCAAGGTTGCCAGAATTAAAAGAACTGTTCTTAGCAGAAAATAATATATTGGAGATACCTGCTGAAACGTTTGCTGGTAGTACAAGTCTGACGGTAGTGTATCTTCAACAGAACGCTATCAGGAGGATCGACGCAAGAGGATTGGTAACCCTTGGACAGTTGGCCCAACTTCATTTGAGCAGTAATTACATTGAAAAGGTACCGCGGGACTTTCTCGAACATTGCGAGAATCTATCGACTCTATCTTTGGACGGTAATAACATACGGGAATTAGAGGTAGGAACGTTCGCCAAAGCAAAACAATTGCGAGAACTTCGTTTGCAAGACAATCAAATTACGGAAGTAAAGAGAGGAGTATTTGCTCCTTTACCGTCCCTATTAGAGCTTCATCTTCAAAACAATGCGATAACCGACATGGAGACCGGTGCTTTACGATCTTTACATAGTCTACAACACGTTAATCTACAAGGAAATTTATTAGCAGTTTTAGGAGACGTATTTCAAGTATCCAACGAAATTGGACAAAATGGAAACATCGGTAGTTCTTTGGTATCCATTCAACTGGACAACAATGGACTCGGCGTTCTACACAACGATTCTTTAAGAGGACAAGCCTCTGTTAGAATCATGTGGTTGGGCCACAATAGATTGACACGCCTTCAGGCTCCCCTCTTCAGAGATCTTCTTTTGGTCGAACGACTCTATCTTACGAACAACTCGATTTCAAGAATAGAGGATACCGCCTTTCAGCCAATGCAAGCTTTGAAATTCCTTGAACTTAGCATGAATCGATTGAGTCACGTCACCGCGAAGACTTTCTCTGAATTGCACGAACTCGAGGAACTCTATTTGCAGGACAACGGTCTTCGACGATTGGATCCTCACGCGTTGACAGCTCTAAAACGATTGCGAGTACTGGATCTTGCTAACAACAATCTCAACGTATTGCACGATAAGATTTTCCAAGAAGGTTTACCTATTAGAACTTTAAATCTGAAAAATTGTACGGTTAGTGTAATCGAAGACGGTGCCTTCAGAGGATTAAATAATCTTTACGAACTTAACCTCGAACACAATCACCTCACTGCCATGGCTCTTGACAGGTTGGACATACCAGGATTAAGAATCCTCAGGATATCTTACAATAATTTTAGTCAAATCAATGGAAATTCATTGGACGGTTTACCTTCCCTTCAACACCTTGCCATGGACTCTGCGCAAATCCATCGAATACCGGCCGAATTGTTTTTGAAAAATAAAAACTTAGCCAAATTGTTGTTAAGCAATAATCTGCTTAACGTTTTACCGTCAGTTCTCTTCCTCGAATTGGATTCATTAAAGGAGGTCAAACTAGACGGGAATAGATTCATAGAGATTCCGTACGAAGTCTTGACTAACGCCAGTACCATAGAGTTTCTCTCCCTAGCAAACAATGAGATAGACCACGTGGACATGTCTCGTTTAAACGGATTGACCAGTTTGCGGGAACTCGATCTACGTAGTAATTACATCACGACCCTCTCTGGTTTCGCAGCAGTAAACTTATCCCGTTTGATATCCGTAGATCTTAGTCACAATCATTTGACCGCCCTTCCGGCTAACTTCTTCGCTCGATCGAATCTCTTACGGAAAGTTGAATTGGCCGCGAACAAGTTCCGACAGATACCGGCAGTCGCCCTATCCGCACAGAACATACCCAGTCTTGCCTGGCTCAACGTCACTGCCAATCCTCTCGTCAGAATACACGAGATAAGTTCCGAGGCAAGATATCCTACCCTCCAAGAGATCCACATTTCTGGGACAAATCTCACGATAGTTACCAGCCAAGATTTCGAAGCCTTTCCAGCCCTGATGCATCTCTTTATGGGCAGTAACATGATCTCAAGAGTATCGCCAAGCGCTTTTCGCAGTCTACCGAATCTCCTCACTTTGGATCTCAGTATCAACGAGCTAGAACTTTTACCTCAGGAGAGATTGAAGGGTTTGGAACATCTGAGACTGCTCAATCTAACGCACAACCGTTTGAAAGAGCTCGAAGATTTCCCACCTGATTTGAAAGCTCTTCAAATACTCGACCTTTCTTATAATCAGATCAGCAACATAGGAAAAAGCACGTTTCAACATCTAGAGAATCTCGCGGAGCTACATCTTTACGGTAACTGGATATCATCTATATCACCGGATGCGTTCAAACGTTTAAAGAAATTAAGAATATTGGATCTCAGCAGAAATTTCTTAGCTAATTTACCGTTAAACGCATTTCGTCCATTAGAAACCCAGATACGAAGTTTAAGAGCTGAAGGTAAGAGTACTTTTAATTCGTAACGTTGAATTTTTCATATTAACCTTTGACAGAATCAATACTTTAATCTCGAACCGATCACAATTTCTATAGAAAATCCTCTACTCTGCGACTGCGAATCCCAGGAGCTTTGGGAATGGTTACGGGACCATCAAAAGCTGGTGGGAGGTGGCGTGAGCCGAAATCGTGGTGGCGGCGGTGGTGGTGGTGGTAGTGGTGGTGGTGGTGGTGGTGGTATGCGAATGAACGACATGGAAAGCGGATTGCTAAAGTGCGAACAACCACCGGAATTGCGTGGCCTGGTTTTCCTCGACCTCGATCCGCATGCTTTCTGCTCCGCACCATTGATCCTAAAACTCGCGATCCAGGATATACAGCCGTTCTCAGTGTTGGTGTCCTGGCAAAGTAGAAATCACTCTGGGCTACGAGGATACCAGGTCGCTTATCACGCTCTGGACAACGTCGACGAGGTAGTAAAAGCTTGTATTTTACCTTTTCTCTTTTTACCCGATCCTTTATCTCTCTTCCCCAGTTTTATTCTACCGCAATATTACCTGGGTCCACACTGACCGGTGTTAACTCCGGTAAAACGAATCGTCGACCAAACACAGTGTCCCCTCTTTACCCCACCGTGCATTTAACCCAAGTAAGAAGACGGTTGCTTTCTACCGATGGCTAATAAAAGTTGAACGCGCTCGCCGTACAGAACATAAAAGTTTTTCCCCGACAACTCGGTAACACCTCACGTTCGGTCCCATTTACCCCCATTAACTTTATATATATATATATATATAGAAAGAGAGAGAGAGAGAGAGAGAGAGAGATACTATAAATTCTAAAGATTAAGTTTAGATAATGGAGAGTAACGATAGAGTTGTTCTTTCTTTTCTTGTTTAAACAATAGAACCCCGGAACTTAAATCCCCGAACACTCGACAATAAACGTTTTGTCCGATATCGAAATAAACTCGTTATTATCTTTTGTTCGTTTCAGGTACGCGGAAGAATTTTAGAACCGAATGCCCGTTCGATAAAACTCTCCAAGATGACGTCAAACACTCGCTACTTGATCTGTATCTTCGGTATTGGCAACTGGCTGACGAATCTCAACGAAGAGATGCTCGTGAGCCAGTTGAATATATCCAAGGACGAGATGATCGAATCTACTCCGGTAACGCAGATGGCGGACTCGCCTACAAGCCGTTGCACCGAAGTGAAAACTTTGGAAATGCCGAGCGCTGTTATAAGCAGCGATGGTTCTTCGATGGGAGACATGGGTGGTGTCAGCAGTTTTCTCACGAGAAGACTCGGTCTCATAGTTGGCTGCTGTATGGGATTCGTTGTCTTTCTCCTGCTCGTCTCGATCTTGGGCTACCTCAAAGTTAAGAAACAACGAGAGGCAGTAAAAAGGGATCAACAGCCGATACCACCCGAGTATATATCTTATAGACACTTCAGCATACAAAGTGGCGAGGCCGGCCATGCAGCCAGGCAGGCCAGCCAAGAAGGCCAACATCCGAGTTTCATCAGTAACGTTGGCAACCCTACCTTGAATGTATGAGATAAGTCGAGGAACTCCCGACTCGTGGAGGTTTCGAACGTTTGAAATTAATCACATTACAACATTTTCTTAAAACGTTCGAAACATTCTCGACTCGTGGAAGTTTCGCGAAGTTATCTCTGATCATTCATCTTTCAAATACATTATTAACAAAAACTGTGCGAGATAATATCTCAGGGACTCTTGAGAAAGATTATAAAGCAAAGCAAACCAACAAAATGAAAAATCAATGAAAACTCGGGCCTATTATCATACAAACATAATCTCGAGATATCACATACGTTAAAATACATTATATACTTACGAGCGTTCGATAGAAAACGATAATGTTTTTTTTTTTTCCTAACAATCGATTAATCGCAACGAAAAATAATCTTATTCTGATGAATCAACCAAATAAGAAAAGAAGTAACACTTATCATAGTATGTTGTTTTCGATTGCACACTCTCTCTCTTCTTTGTGTGTTCAACAACAACAACAACAACAAAAATATGTCGTGTCACAAATTGGACATTTTATATGTGATTTTCTACGAGTCTCTTAAATTCATATCGAATTTTACATAGATATATAAGCGTGCCAACTCAGTGCAGATATTGTAATAGTACACACGTATACACACCCACAATATACACACCAGTTATATACTATGTAAATGATAATAATATTAATAATAATAATAATTATAATTAAAAGAGAATCGGGCAAAGTTAAGATTCTAAAAAAATAATAATAATAATAAAAAGGAAGAGAATTAATCGTTTCTATTAGAACGCATTCGTCGGTAATTCACTAACTCTATAAAGACCGACCGACCGACCCATTATACCATATTTCCAGACTCCATTTGCTGGAGAACGAGCTGGATGGAACTGCAAGGACCCATTGAATTTCTTAATGACTCGGCAAAACCGCAGGTTTAAGACCAACGCGTTTACAGTCGCATTCGACTCTGATATTACTAAACTACATATTATTCTCTAACTCTGTAAATCATCTTCTGAATGAATGAACGAACGATTCCGTCTTCGTCATGCTAGTGTCGAATGATGAGACTTCATTTTTTTTTTTTTTTTCTTTGAACGAAGCAAAATTCGGGAATCGTGTAATACCGTTGTTAGAATTTTAAAAACAAAAAAGAACGAGTACGTAAATAAATGTACGAATTACATTGAAATAAAAAATATATATCTAATATATGATGATGATAATGATAATGATGATGATAATGATGATGATGATGATGATGATGATGATGATGATGTTGTTGTTGTATCTACTGTAAATAATTCGATTCGAAAGATTCGAGAGAATTTAACGATCTCGTAAAAAAAAAAAAAAGAATAAAAAAATATTTCTAATCGATAAGAGACAAATCACGTTTAAAAAAAAAAAAAAAAAAATAAGTAAAAACATTTTGTTTTTTTTTCGTATATTTAAATAAATAATTTAGTTTGTCAGTTTTATCTTTTAAAAATTGATATTTTAAAAAGCTTTCGTCGTATGTGGATTAAAAAAAAAAAGAAGAAGAAATACACACACACACACACATGCACCAAACAACAAACAAAAATATATATATATATATACAAAGAGTATCAAGTAGTCCTGTAAACGTCCAAAAGAAAAAGATGGAAAAAAAGAAAAATAGAGAAGAAAAAAAAATAAATAACCCAACTATTACATTGGAGAGCATGCAAAAAAAAAAAAAAAAAAAGAAAAAAAAAACGTTTCCTTTTTCCGAAACATATTTTGCGATTATCGTCAACAATCTCGATTCTGGCCAGGACGAATCCCCTTGATATAACCCTACAACCCCTATCCCCCCCTCCCTTTCCAACCCTTTCCCCGTACTGTTAGATAAAAACTTTGTATTCTAGTTCTTTTTTTTTT